TTTTTTGAAATAGATCTGTCCAAGAAAAGTATAAGTTTGACCAATGTCGTTGTAATCATCACATAATTGTTCAAGACTTTTCTCATAATAGAAAATTGCTTGATCAAAATTTTCGGTTAAACTAAATGCAAATCCAAGTAATAGATAACACTGACGTAAGTACAGAATGTCTTTCTTTCCAGTATATTGATTAAGTATTTCTTCAGCTTTTTGAGTATAATTACAAACTTGTTCACGATCATTCTTTTTCTCATACAATACTGCAGTATCAATGTATTGTAGTACTATTTTTGAAGTAAGAAATGAACTTTGTTCTATAAATTCCGAAATATATCCATCCATCAGCAACAATTTTGCTTGATCTTTTAATGGAATTTGTCGTATGTCTAATAATTTCCGATAAATCTCATTGCATGTTTGGCACCAAAATAGTGCGTTTTCGATAAATGCGAGTCCTAGTTTTTGAAAAACTTTGCTCATCAGCTCCAGAATACCTAAAATTTGTAAGTAATTTGGTGGTATAATTTTCCATTGATATTGAAATGCTTGTTTATAATGTACTAATGCATTTGGCCAATTTTTTTGCTTTTGAAAATACAGTCCAATTGATGTGTGAATGTCTGCTGCTTCTTTGTCAGAGAATGTATTGGTATTTACAATATTCAATACTTTTTCGTAAAGTATGCTATTTCCATTTCGATATAAACCAGCAAGGAATATATATGTAGATGCTAATTTAGGATAATCAGGTTGAGATGATTGAAGAAATAATTCTATAGCTTTTTCTGCGGCAGATATTGCTGCTTCATCATCTTTTAATTTTTTATAATGCTGAGAAATATCCATATATACACTTGCTTGCCTATTATCATTAGCAATAAATCCAGATTCTTTAGAAATGATCTGAAGTGCTTTATATAAACATTCTATAGCCTTTTCTATATCGTTTGTGACTACATAAATATTTACAATTTGTGTAAGTACTGCTATTTTTAAGGAAGTTTTTGCTTTTGTATCAAAAGCCTTCGTAAAATATTCTAATGCCAAAGTAAACTCACCAGTAAAGAAGTAAACGGAACCTAACGTATTGTATAAATATGTTATTGCAGAGTGTTCTTTTGGTACTCTATTTTCGAATTTTGAATATACATCCATTGCTTTTTTAGCATAGTCTAAAGCATTCTTTGTATCACTGTTTCTTGCATAAAAATATCCGATTCCACTTAAAATTTGAAGATATGATACTATACCGAGTTGTTTGCCAATATTTTCTTTATGCATAACTTTCTCTGCAATGTTTAACGCTTTTTGACAAGAAGCCATTGCTAAACCATAATCTCCACATTGAAAATATATTTTTGCAGTTGTTCCATACGCAGAAATCAATAGTGGATGATTTTTCATTACTAATTTTGACAAATTATCCATAATACGATTGCAGAATTGTAATGCTTCATTATAGTTTGATCTTTCTGTATATATAGTGGCTAATGACACAAATATATCAACGTACCATATAGGATTAAATGAATGTAAATGGCATATATCTAATGTTTTATTGAAATATATAAGAGCATCGTCGAATTGTTCCATCTCTCGGTAGAGTGTACCAAATGTACAATATAAACAAGCTAGATCAAAAGGAGTCATTTTCTCTTGAAATTCTAATGCTTTCTCGTAATATTCAAGAGCAACAGAATTATTAACCATGAATTGATGTACTTTTCCGATGTTCTGAAATATGATAGCACGATATATATTATCTGGCTGAATAATGTTCAATGCTCTTTCAAAATAGATCAATGCATTTGTATAATCATCTCTTTTCTGACAAATCTGACCCATTAGATCATAAGCATATCCTATATTTTCATCCTTGTCTGAAAAGGATTGTAATTCTTCAATTAACATTGTAATATATCGTTCAGCTTTTTCATATTCACCCATTAAAATGAGGAGATTAACAAATTTCATTGTCGATGGAACTTTGTTAAGATTAATTTTAATATAGTCAATCAATTGATCATTATCATTAAGACTTGCTAATTGCAATTTCAAATGCCAAAGATTATCTTCTTTCTCCATTGATTTTACTAGAAATGTTGATCCGATTGGAAATAAAACCTCTGATTCATGGCGCATGTAACTAAGCAGTTCTATGTTAACTCCTCTAGTATACTCATTTTCTACAGTATTAATATCAATTTCAATTAGAAGACCCATTTCTGCACCTAAAATAAACGTCATTGCGACATCTTTCTTAGTCGATGTTGATAAATATGTATTGACTGAAATACATTTATTGATACTATTTTGCAGTTTTTTTAATTCTAATGGAGACATTAGTTGACCACGATATACTATTGGATGTGTTTTTGATATTTCATCATTGTAATGTTCTTGAAGTTGTTTTTGTACATCGATGATAAAATATCGAAAATTAAAGATAATATCTATGTTTCGAGTTCTTAAAGCTCTATTTAATAAACGATAAAGAAATGAATCTTTTGTATACCATTGAATGGCATTTGACGATGAGTATGTTTGTGCAAACTTAATTATTTCTTTTTGCGTTATATGATCGTCTTCTGAGTATTGCTCACGACAATATGCCATAAAATCATTCCAAGCGGTTCGTTTGTATACAATCAAATCGAGTAAACTTTCTATTAATAATCGATACCAAATAATATTTGTATTCATTTGATTCGTTGATTCTTCTTCCATTGTAAGATCGAAAATATCAGTAACTAGATGATCTTTTGTACATATATCGATATCTTGAATAATTGAATTAAATAGTTCTTCTTCATTGTCAGATGTTTTTCGAACAGTTATCTGTGTTTGTGTTACCAGTATTTGATCCTTGTTTTCTTCATTTGATAATACATAAACGAATATAATTTGCGATAAATTATCTACTGATGGTAGAAAACTTTCAACAAACTTTTTGTCAATGATTAAAAATATGTTCGTGGTATTTTTTTCATTTATAAAATTAATTGTCTCATCATTAGAATAAAATTTTTTAACGTCAATATTATGTATAGTTTTCTCGATAGAATTGTATTCATCTGTACGCCAAATGATATAAATATCTTTTTCGTCTTGCTGTTCTATAACTTCTGGTTTCGGTAATAACAAGCATAATTGTGCAAGTCTATCATCGAAAGTAACAAGTTCATTTAATGTATTTAATGTTGATAACGATTGTAATTGTAACTGTTTTTCAAAGGCATCATTTAGAATTTCATCCATGTTTTTTTACACTAACGTAAATAAGCAATCGGTAGTAGCAGAAATTTACTTCACCTGTATATTGATAATATGAAATGTAAAAATGAAAAATATATAAGTATACATAATCATATATATGAGAGAGGAAAGATAAATTATCATTCGTCACGCTTTGAATGTTAACGAAAAAAAAATTTGTTTTTGTAAAAGTGCACACTACATATATCCTAAGCAATTAAGACACCAATACATACTAAAAAGGTGTCTCAGAAGTTTGATTACAATTTTGAAATTCATCGTTCTCGCATTCAACACAAGTAAACTTCTGAAAACTTTGGGAGATTATTGTGTATATCATGTATTTTTAAATCATAACTAAGATGATGAGAAAAATTGAAAAACTAGTATGGTTCTCATGCATAGATCTTAAACTTTGTAGTTACTTAGCACTTATGATATGTAAGATAATCTGCCAAAGTTTTACGAAATTTACTTTTGTTGAGCGCGAGAACGATGAAAAGACGATTATATGATTCACTCTACTAGAAATATGATTAATTGTCATAAGGAGTGTAAACAATCTCACTCATGCTATTTAGTGTTAAAAAAAAATCTTCGTTCTGCTGCAATTGTTTGAGAACGTCATGCCTTCTTCAATCAACATAAGAAAAATCATGACATATAAAACAAATACATTTTGCTTGCTTCACTATTACAGCTGCTATGGCATCTTCATCATCATTTCAAGAGTCGTCGAGCGACGAAACAAAAAGTTCAATCGATAAGTTACACTGTTCACTACAAGAACTGACACATGAAATTGAGATACAGACTAGGTAAGAATATAGTATGCAAAATAGTCAAATAAAAACATGTTTTATTTCGCTTCATTCTTTCAAAGAATAACCTTGATGCTAGATGAGTCATCAGGACAACGAAACTTCAATAGGGTGAGTGAAACGAGATCAACTTCAGCTCGTCGTGTGTCAAAGACAAATTATTTTATTCGACTTAAAGATCAAATTAAGGACGCAATTGCAAGTGCTGACAAGCAAGAGGCAAAGACATCTTCCGAAAAGTCTATACCAGAATAACGGATATCAATGATGTTAACCAACACTCGACATATTAAGATTATTATTCCATTTTTTCAGTTTTTTGCGACATGGATTTTACTAAAAATCTATGTATAATATACATATTTAACAACATTTGGTATTCAATGTGCTTACGAGTCTAATTGTCCTTCTTCATATTTTCACCATTAAGCATCGACTCCTTTGAAACAGAGTATGAATATGAACAGAGAGGGCTGAAAATACCTTGTCTAATTATCTACACCTATACCTATTCTCAAAAAAGGACAGAACCTTAACTAAACAATAGTAGTGAACAAATATCAAACACGTCTGTGTTTAGACGATGATGTGGCCATACACTAAAGAAAAACATTTCCATCATACGATCAAGAGAAGATACGCAAACGTACGTGATGTGACATATATGGATGGGTATAAATATAAGTAAAGAACAAACATCCACCATCAAGTAGTGAATTAACCTTGCTTTGAATTATTGTTCTATCTTATGTAGAAGAAAGAAAAAATATAAAATAATAAAACGAAGATAAGAACAAAAGAATGTTAAAAGTGAATTAAGGAAATTCGATCTTATCTTTTTCATTTCTCTTAAATTTTCATCATCTATTGTTTTCGAATAACGTAATATGACGAAGAAGATATCATTATGCAGATCAGTATTCTACAATACAGTATTTATTTAATTATTTTCTATACGTTCATATCTATACAAAAAGCAAATATGCAACTAATCAACAAAGAGAAAGTGATAAATAAAAAAACAAAACACATGTGATATTTAGAACGAGAAACAAAGGAAAGAATTGAATATCGTTACAATATGCTTGTAGTACAGATAATATAAAACGAATAATACACTGATCGATAAAAAGAAATTTTATTAATGAATCCTACAGGATTTATTTGAATTAGTTATAATAAGTTGTTCAAAAAGTTAGATATTTGATTAAATACAATATTGAATATTGAGATAAGACAATATTTAATTCTATAATACTTCTTCTTAACATTTTTCAAAAGACATAACAGTAGAAAATAATTCTTTATATTACAAATATTATTTTTACATTTATTTCTTATTCATAAATCTGTTTTTTTCATAGAGAATCGCTTAACAATCATTTTTATGTTATTTATTTGTAAATATTCTATATTGTTATTTAATACACTATATCGATATATTATTAAACCATTTTCATTCTACTGCAATATTTACGAGGAAAAAGAAAGTCTACCTGAAAAGACATGTATGTATGATGAAATATTCTATAAGTACAATAAATAGTTTCATGCAAAAATATTTTATTATGTTATTGAGATTAGCTAATATTTTGTTTTCTTTTCAATAGATTTTTCTTTTTTAATTTTATACATTAAATAACTAATAGTTTAGAATTTTGAATTTATTCTTTAATAATATTATTTATTTTATTTTTAAAAGGAAAGCAACAGTTTTATGCATACGAAGTTACTTATAAATTATTTTCATTTTATTTTTAGATTTATTCAATATTTTAGTGAAAAATAAATTTCAATGTTATTTTTATTAAATATTCCATATTTATTAATAAATCTAATATTAATTCAGTTTCTAATCAAATCTATCAAAACCGAATGGCCATCAATAAGTTCTTCACCCATCAAAATCTTAGGTCTTTTTCCAAATCAATTAAATAACTCCACTCCAACAACATTATCA